TGTTATTCATCATTTTATATTAAATCTTTCGTAATATTCCCATCGGTCAGACGATGACATGGTGAGCCAGTGTCGAAAATTCATCCAATAAACCACCGTTTCCCAAAGTACTTCTTCTACCAAAGTTTCGAGTTTATTTTGCCCCCATCAGACAATCAAAACCCTGACCACCATCTGGATCGAGAAGCGTTATGCAGCGATGCACTCGTCAACTATTTACAACCCATCTGATTGACCCCGACAGCACATTCATGACTTGCGCATCCACCTAAATCTTTTCTGCCCCCGTCTACCATGTTTCGATGAAAAAGCATAACCAAGAAAACTGCTCGGGTGGGTGCAACCTAAATTGCAGTTATATTTGGAGTTTTGAGAACAGTAACAGGGCGTCGAAGAGGGTGAACTTACCGCTTCCTGGTTCATGCCTGGAATCACGTTTTCCAGTGGCTTCACGGTCGTAGTTTGGGCGTCATAGGTACACGAAGCAATGGAGTCACACGAAGTGTCCTTATATTCTGCTGCAGAAGACACACATAAAGGTCTTTATAATATAGTAACCGGACACCAGGTAGTTCAGTAATAAGGGATACCTAGAAGGCATTGGGTCTGGGAAAAGGTTACAGGCCGGACGAAATGAATATGGCTAAGAATGCAGCTATCTATGACCACTGCAGAACGGGTCGGAGACAGGGTAGACAAGCAAGGCTCAGATTTAGTAGACGTAGATATTCATCAATATTTAACTGATAGGTTTTAATAGGTTAACCGAAAAAAAAACATTTTTAAAGTAAGATGCAATATTTGTACAAGCATAATACAGCACTGCTTTGTGAATGCTGGCGGGCCCCCAGGGCCCAATAGGAAAAGTTTGTCTCGTAACGCAATCGGGGCGATAAATCTCGAAAGTTTGGCAACTAAATGGATAGCTTACGCTGTCCGAGCGAACAGTAGTTTAGGCTAGTGCCCCTCTCCCCTTCTGGAAGGATAGCAATGGCAACGCATACGAGTATCGGTGGGAAATGTGGGTGGTGTTCCTTGAGAAGGCAGTGCGAGTGGAGCAGCAGAAGAGGGGGTGGCGAAAAGGGGGCAGTCACTCTGTATACACAATTTCATTTTCAGTCATCTGACAGCACAGCGCGACACTAGGGAGCCTTAAAAGTATATGAAGACGCCTACCAGCACCTCAAATTGGTCCTTGAGACTGACAAGGGGACTTTTATGACTGCTTCCCAAGGGCAAGTTAAGAGAACAGCTTTCGGCTAAGACAGTGTACGTGAAGTCCATAGAAACAGAATCGGAAGAGGGAGTGAGAAAGATGCTACGCAAGTTCCCTGTGCTCTAGTTTCAGAAACAAGTTAGTCATCATCCAAATTCGGATCGTAATGATTCCCACTGAGCAGGACGAACTGCCAGGCGAAATAGTTAAATTTGACACAGACGCAAGGAGGTAACTTCCTATTACCTCACAATGTCAGGAGTAGGGGTAGGGGCGGACCGGAGGTCACTTGTGCGCACTTAAGACCGAAGGAGTAGTTACGGTCGGACAACCTCCAGACAAAGTGACCAACACTGTCATCCAACGCAGTAAAACAAGAACCAGATCAGCAAACGCAGCTGGACTTTTGGCATAAGGCCGAACACGCGTAGGACGACACACTGCTACGCAGGAG